ATAAATTTCTTAGGTTTGTCTGTTGTTTGACTGTATGCTTTGATTATACGGAAAGCAGAGGATTCAGCCCTCCGAATCTTCTTTCGTCGTCAGTATCGCCTGCAATACTGTTTAATTCACATTCGTCTGCTGTCATCCATTCATATGGAAGGCTATGGGCTAAGTTTATCAATTTCTAACGGTAATTTGTAACTTCTTTATTTTGGTGTTCAATTTGTCAGCTATTGCACCTTCAAAATTATCTTGCAGTAAATTCCTAGCTTCGTGTAGTTTCTGGGCAACTTTAGCATTGCTTGTGCTGTTGCAGAACAGTTGGACGTTAAACCCCATTTCATTTCATTTCATTTCGCTTGTGCTGTTCTTCGTTTCCCTTCTTGTTGAATTTGTATGCCGCCTGTTTCAATTGTTCAATACGAGCTAGTTGTGATTCGCTCAGATTAAATTGATTATCGCTTATCTGTTTCGGAAATATATTCAGTTTGGTTGAAATAACATTATTTATTTTATCTTACATTTTATCGAGAACTTTAGTTAAAATAACACTAAATATGACCGCCTAATCCATTGTTAAAGGGACTATCCCGATTTGAACAGAGTCTCAAAAATAAAATTCTGAGTACCTATAAAATTTAAGCGCCAAAATATAGAGGAATGGTGTATTTACCCTGTCTCAAATTTCAGCTCAAAATATTAAGTCGTTTGGACGTGAACGACAAAACTGCTTATCCGGACACGTAACCCTTTTAAGATATCGGGTCAATTTTTTCCTTGGTTGACCTGATAATCGATTCCTGTTCCTTTAGAGGTTTATACAGTGAATGACCCATGTGCTGTACTTGATAACGGAAGGTAAATTTCACCTACACATTATATTTATAAAATAAAAGTCTGATTTTATCCAGGCACTATATAATACAGCTTGGGACACCGGTCTCCATTTTCAGATGACGACTGACGGGTTTAAATTTTTTGAAAACGTATCACATATATTGAGTTAGTTGCTCGGCCCTAAGGTAGAGGATTTTAAGTGATTTTAATACAAAAATTAAGCAGTTTTATTCTCCAAAATATTACCAGGATTGGCCCTTTAACCCTGAAGTTAACAAGCTGACGATAGAAGCTAGACAACTCACATACTTGTAGACACGCACGCACATTTAATTAAAGGACAATATTGGTGCCAGTCATTATCACATATGTGATAGAACTGGTTAAACACATTCTAAATATAAATTTAACAGAGAGATCACTGCTACGATAGCTGAGTAATACAGGATGCGCGAATCGGAAGTGACGAACGCCAAAGGACATACCTCTATATAACTGGCTGAAGTGCCGACTGATAACAGATACATGGGCGAATTTCTGCTCACTAATAATTCCTTCGAAGACCAAAAGTTGTTATATGGGACTGTAAGAGGATAGCTGACAATTCAATACAGTAATTGAATGTCATCAGATAAGAGAACACGAGAAAAATAGAAATAGTCCGTACATTCCCTTGTTTATATTCATTCTATAGGGGAGAGCGGGGCTAGTTCGCACCATTTTTAATGAAACCAACATATCTCGATAACTTTTGAAGCTACGTTACCGTAGACCAGTGATTCCCAACCAGTGTGCCGCGGCACACAGGTGTGCCATACTGTGTGTCTATGACTAGTCTGTGGCTACAGTTGTATGCCGTCTATGATTTGCCATGTTTTTTATTTTGCAAAAAAATCAAATATTTTTCATATATATTAAGTCGGGTGTGTCGCTGTTTTTTCATGTGTTTCAAGGTGTGCCGTTGGCACAAAAAGGTTGAGAACCACTGCCGCAGACCATACTAGATTAAAGACAGTGGAGATGGCTAATTTACGGCATACATTAAGTATTGTTTAATGGTCGAGAGCGAGACATTAAGTAATATATTGTAACAACAATATATTACGCAATGTCGTAAGCTCGAGACCATTAAACATCTTAAAATACTGACACTCCGCACGAGCTTTTACGTCACACTAGTCCAATATCTCACTGGTATGAATAAAGTACTATTGGCAAGTTGCCCGTCCGATTATTTGAAATAATGGTACGCCAACATCAAAGGGTGACGTCACATCTGTATTTTAAATAGTTTTATTGACAGGCGTATACAAGTAATTTCATCTCAAAGTCACCATGTCCGAATGGGCGAACATCAAGCCTCGGCTGTATGACAGTAAGTGATATGTACCTACGCCTATACAATTGCGATGCGGCACCGGTTTACTTATGCCCCCGTCAGACCGGGGTGGCGTCCTTACTACGCTGCTGCGACCGTACGGCGACCAGAAAATGCACAAGGTCGCCGGCAAACGTGAACACAACGGGCGAAAATGTCCCCAAAAACTACAAAATTGAAAAAAAAAGTCGTATTCTCATAGTTTTACAGTTCAGATCGCAGAACCTTGGCGTTTGCTTTGAACATGCTCAAAATAAACGCGGTGACTCGGGGATTATTGGCGACCATGATGACCACAGCACGATAGCTGACGTTTCCACTACGCTTATGGCGATCTTAACGCGCTCTAAAACTATTTTCCATCGCCGTAGCAGCGAAGTAAGGACGCTACCCCGGTCTGATGGGGGTATTATTAGGAAAACTTGCCGCTTTTAGAAAGAAGTTCTCAAAACTGCGTCGTTCGAAGCGTATGTAGACTTTTCAATTCAAACTGGTCCGTGTCTAAAGGAAATAGGATAAACTTGAAAGAAAAACAGCTTCAGACTTTGAAATCTTTGTATGGTAAAACATTCTTTAAATGCGTCGTCATGGGCAACGGCGTTGGTAATCCGGAACTTGAAAGTAGTCCCAATGGCGGACTTCGTCATACAGCCGAGGCTAGATGTAGGGTACTGGAATCTGCTGAGGTTTGGCCGAGTGTGCGCGAGATATGAATGGGGTCGGACTAACCCCGCTTTCCCCTACCTTATAAAAATATGGTAATGCACGGACTTTTTTTCTGTTTTTCTTTCGTGTTCTCTTATCCACTGGCAGTCAATTCTTTTTATAAATTGTTAGAAATCCTCTCACAGTCTCACACAACAACTTTTAGTCTTCGAAGGAATTATTAGTGAGCAGAAATTCGCCCATGTATCTGTTATCAGTCGGCACTTCAGCCAGTTATATAGAGGTATGTCTCGTGTTTTCCTTTGGCGTTCGTCACTTCCGATTCAGGAATCCTGTATAACTCAGCTATCGTAGCAATGATCTCTGAGTTAGAATTATATTTGGAACGTGTTTAATTAGTTCTATCACATATGTGATAATGACTGGCACCTTTAATTAATATTCATGTGTCATGGTTCCACGAACAAACAACTATTTCAGATATACGGATATACGTTGAAACGCTGACAAATTTATAATCTACCACCCAACTCGACTTGATAGGAACGCTAAAAGCGATGTATCTATAAAGACATTTTGTCATTGTTTATTGCCTTCCTGATAATATGTTAGAAACGGTTGCTTTATGGCATTATTGGTTTTCTAAATCCCATTAGGATTGTTTAAGGTAAAAAGAATACAAAAGGATACTTATACGATTTTCTCATCTTCTAAACCAATTGAAAGACTGAATAGCGTTAAACTCATCTTTTCCATTATATTCGAAATTAAAAACACGAATTAGAATTCAATATTGGTCTATTTCAATCAATATTGATGTTGTTATCTTGCCGTAATAATATCCAATATTCAAGACACAATGAACATTTTAAAATCAGTAAACGAGTCGGTTTACTGTATGGTTTCGGGTGCCATTTGTAATGAACCAAGAAAAACATATCATATAAGGCAGTAATTAAAAAACGGCAAAAGAATATTATTAACAAAACATGTAGAATGGACTAATCTGGCGGAAAAGATAATTATTTCATCTAACATAATTGATTATAGATTGCAATAAAAGTTTAAAAATTGAATATAAATCATACATTCATATTACATTAATATTAAAATATGTGCTTTTAGAACTATTTTCGTCTGTTTTAAGGTTCCAAAGAATAAAACAATACGTTCTTTAATGTAATTTCTAGGTAATGGCTTTCGGGACAAAGTAAAGACAGGACATACTGTGTTCAAAACCATGATATCGGCGTGTAACAATATGTATGTTAATACCGAAATCATTTTTCTTGTAGCAATCATTTAACTAAAATGGTAACCATTGTGCTAGGATATAAATATATTATTATCTTGTTATACATCGGTCTAATTATTTATAGTAAGTCGAAACAATATTGGTATAGGATAAAAGTATTTCGTTTATATTAATTACACCTACCATTATCTGAATACTAAGGAATGATAATAAAGGTCCAACCATAAAAGCTCCCCAGGGGAAGGGATACTAATGGTGCCATTAATTCTTGTACTTTATAAATGGAGAAAACTAAGTATTAAATACTGTGAAGATGAAGATCATTCTATTTGAAACAAATTGTTCAATAAAACAACATTTAGAGAGATTGTTATCTTAGGTACAGTTCGTTTATGCAGATATACATCAAGCCTTTTCGACTAAACATTTAAAACATTCTACTCAGAGACTGTTCGTAGTTGTGTGACATCCAATGATTAAAAGACAAAGTTTCATACTTTAATAACAGAAAGTGAATTCTATGAAATGGATATAATCGGTACATCATACGCAGAGATAAACTGCACAAGTTTTGAAATACAAGTACCATATATGTTTGATACGTTAGAATTCAATATCATTTTTTGTTGTGTGCTCGTTCTGGTTGGTCTTCTTGCAGTGACGGGAAACACCATTACAATTGTCGCCATACATTTACGGAAACGACAAAATCAGGCAACTATGTCCAATACATCTTTTCTTTTTGTAAGATCGCTATGTGTTGCAGATATAATTGTTGGTGCCTTTACAGTACCATTTAATCTGTATATTTTCATTGACAAGCGGCATCACAAAATTGAACTATTTTGTCTTTTTGCAGCTAGCATGGACAGTATGGCATGCACATCCTCTATTCTACATTTGTTGATGATGTCGGGTGATCGTTATTTAGCAATATGTAGACCATTAGTTCACAGAACTTTACCTCGTCATATAGTTTACATAGCCCTTGCTGTAAGTTGGATTGTTCCTTGTATTATGACTTTTCCTGTGATAATGGCCAAACTGCATCTAGAAGACAGAGATACTTCGTGCGCCATAGAACATAATCACTGTTTTGGAGGCCAATTAAGTGTAACTTACATAGTTACTAGTGGATTAGGCTACTTTTATGTTCCAACCATTATTATATTCATATTGAATTATAAAATATTTTCAGCTATAAGGAGGCGAAATTTGAAAGGATCCATTACACGCTCTCGTGTGATGTCGGAGGCCGCAGCGGCAAAGACGATCGGTGTGATTCTAAGTTGTTTCTTTGTATGCTGGTTTCCACTCTTTGTTGTCTACTTTTTACTAATCTGGATACATAACATCCCACACCTTGTCTTTATCAGTGTAGAACTGTTGAGCTTTATAAACTGCATGTTAAATCCTATATTATATTATCGTTGCAATACAAGTGTTAAACAGGCTGTAAAACAACTTATGAACAAATGGTTTGCGAGGAAGGCACACTCTGAACCTAAAGTCTATTTCTCTGCCAAGTCAAAAGTAACAACTGGAAATGTATCTAGCACATCTTTAATAAGTCTATTATCCATTAATAATTTTGAATCCAAAATGGAATGTATTCCCAATTCGCTACATCGTTGATCAACTACAAAGCTGGTATATACAGAAACGTGGCTCTGTTATGAAGAAAACGTTCAACGGATTATGCTTCAATGTTGATTGTTTGAGAGATGCCACCGAACAATTAGCATTTCCATTACCAAAAACAATACTGTACTTTACTTGATAGTTTCGGTACCTTAGGCACATTTTTAGTGAATGCATACAAATAAATATCATGGATTATATGAGTTACAAGTGTCTTTCGGTTTAAGGCAAACTAGTTCATTTCTAGTGACTCGATTGGTATTCAGTATGGACTACAACCATGCCGCAGTTTAAGAACATGCCATTGTTTATTTGTAAAGAACCTCCAATTCAACATTTATTTTATTCTTATGACCCAATTTAGCACGTTGTTCTGCGACTTACAAATTTATGTTGTATTTTTTTTATGATCTCCTTGTCCGCGATTTTCATACCTAACCTACGCTCGTAGTTCTGACAGAGTGCATGTACTGTTCGTATTCAAGTTGTTCCTGACTATCGTTAATAATAGAGTTACTGTTTGTAATGATTTTTGCTTGTCAAGAAAGTTTGTATGTATAGAATATACTTTACAACCCAAATAAGGTGAGTAAAGACCCTAGATTAAATAAAATAAAATAAACTAGAACTGCGATGCTATAATGACGGGTTTCACCGGTGCCATGTTACCCTTGAACTTATGTCACTTCCAGTGCCACGTTACCCTTGAACTTATGTCACTTCTGGTACCAATGAAACCGTTAAACACATTTCTACACAAGCATTGCACACGTGTTATAAAATGAATGTTTTGAAGGCTAAAAATGTTTGTTTTGAAGGCTAAAAATACAGTTTTTGCCAAAAGGACATTACTTCCGGTGATAATGAAAATGTTAAATTAGTTCTATGAAATCATAAATGACATAAGGCATCACATGGTGAAAATTTTATGAAAATCGAATAATAATTGACACTTTTATAGACCAACAACCTTGAAAAGTGACTTGTAGATAATCGTCTATTTCTCTAGAACCGTACAAGTTAGAAACCAGTTTGTGGTATCTGTATGATCGTATGGGTTCACTTTATATGTTGATTGGAATCAAATATCATAATTTTAAAAGCATTACAAATCAGACTCATTTGAATAAAATATCTGTTTTGAAGGCTAAAATACAGTTTTTGCCCAAATGACGTCATTCTCGGTGACAGTGAAAATGATTAATTGGTTTGACCTAATCAAAATTGGCATTAGGCATCAAATGGTAAAAACAAATTAAAAATCGAATAATAATTGACTCTTTTACAGGCAAAATATCGTGAAAAGTGACGCATGCAATATTGCCTATTTCTCGGCAACTGCTTTTATTACAAACTAATTTTCACATAGATTTTCTTCGTATGGATTAATGCTACACGTTTATGAGAGTTGTCAAGAAATATTTTAAAATATAAAAATCCTGAATACATTGTAAATAACTCCTGTTTACCCTTTTTTCACCTGTAAATCAAAATGGCACAAATACAAAACCGAAATTTAGATAAATAAGTCTGACATATTTTGCGTCTTTAGTAGGAGCATTTATCTTGATCTTTTAGATTTGCAAACATATTTGCATTTGAAAAGGCCTTTCGACTGTCAAAATTGAAGTTTTGGGCAAAATTATTTCACTTCCGGTGCGGACAGAAAATTTTATTGGTATAAAAAAAGTTGAGAATTCTCACACCAGGGCATATGAGCTTTTCTTTTATACAAATCAGGCAATAAATATTTAACTTAGAATCCATAAACTGAAATTAAAATGCGAAAAATCTTAAAAAGTGATCCTGACAAAATTCATTATTTCTCAGTAAGGGAAGGTATATGATCGCATTGATTCATACTATTTGTCCATTGAATTAAATATCATAATTCTATACGAATAATGAATACCACTTACTTCAAACAATGTTTTGGTTTAGAGGCTAAAATACAGTTTTTGACAAAATAACATTACTTCCGGTGATAATGAAAATCTGGAATTACTTGTATGAAATTGTAAATGACATTAGGTATCACATGGTGAAGATTTTACGAAAATCGAATAATCATTAAGACTTTTAAAGACCAAAAACCTTGAAAAGTGACCTGTTGAAAATCGCCTATTTTTCCGCAACTGAACAAGTTAGAAACCATTTTTATACGCCCACATTGAAATGTGGTCGTATATTTTCGTCGCTCCCGTCCGTCCGGCGTCCACAATTGTTTGTCGACGCTCTAGAGGCTAAAGTTAATATCCGATGATTTACTTTAAATTCATACACAGTGTTTAAGGTCATGACACGAAAAAGCCTATTGATTTTCAGCGATGTCCGATAATTACTGCCAGAGTTATGGCCCTTAATCACATTGAAAAATCTTGTGGACGCTCTAGAGGCTAAAGTTAATATCTGATTGACTTTAAATTTATACAGAGTGTTTAAGGTCATGAGACGAGGAAGTCTATTCATTTTCAGCGAACTTCGATAATTACTGCCAGAGTAATGGTCCTCGATCACTTAAAAAAATCTTGTAAATGCTCTAGAGACTAAAGTTCCGATTGACTTTAAATTTATACACAGTGTTTGAGGTCATGAGACGAAGAATCATATTGATTCTCAACGATTTCCGATAATTACTGCCAAAGTTATGGCCCTTGATCACTTTGTAAAAAAACTTGTGACGCAATAGAGGCTAAAGTTAAAATCCGATTTACTTCAGATTGATACACAGAGTTTAAGGTTTTTAGACGAACAAGTATATTGATTTTCAATGAATTTTTATGACTTGAAAAGCTAATTCCATGGGACAGAACTTTATAAAAACCAAACTAATTCTAATGGTTTTCTGATAATTACTTAATGTGTTGTTACTCTTAAGAAATTTTTAATGTATTATAAATGTTTTATTACCGAAAAAAGTAAAAATATGCGCTCTTGTAGACTGCCCGGACGATTTAGCTGCTGTGGGCGTATGTTTCGTTGCCTGGCAACCTATCTTTTGATATCAATATGATCGTATGGGTTCATTCTATTTGTTGATTGGAATCAAATATCAACATTTTAAACAAATAACAAATACGATTCATTTGAATAAATTATTTGTTTCGAGGGCTATAAATACAGTTTTTACCCAAATTACGTCATTTCCTGTGACACTGAAAATATTAAAGTGGGTTGAACTAGTCACAATTGACTTTACGCATCAAATGGTTTCACTGTTATGGAAAAAATCCAATAATAATTGACTCTTTATAGGCAAAATACCGTAAAAAGTGACTCATGCAAAATTGACCATTTCTCGGCAACAGCTCATATTACAAACTAATTTTGAGATAGATTCTCTTCGTATGGATTAATGCTACAAGTTTATGAAAGTTACGGAGAAATATTTAAAAATATGAAAAGCCTGAATAGGTTGTAAACAGCTCATTTTTACACCTTTTTTCGCCTTTAAATCGAAATGGCGCAAATACAAAACCGAAATTTAAAAAAACCGAGTCAGAGATTTTTTGCGCCTTTTGTAGGGGCATTTATCTTGCAAAAATTTGCAAAAATTAACATTTGCTAGCGAATTTTTAGCAAAATTGCGTCACATCCGGTGCCGATAGAAAACTTTACCGGTAATAAAAAAATGAGAATTTGCACCGTGGAGCCAATAGCAGCCAAGAAAAATTATCACATTTTTGCTCAAATCAAACGAACATTTAACCCTGGGAAAAATGCCATAATAAAATATTCATAAATAAAAAATTTATTTGTAAAAATTTAAATTTTCAAAATGTGGCGCCTAATATCTGCGAAGATTTATCGAAAATCAAAAATCTAAATTACCGTAGCTTTCTGCCTTGTCTCTTCAAATGTTAAAATCCGACGATTATTGTTAATATTACGGCACTATTTCAAAAAACGACATCTTCGGCGATTTCGGACATTTCGCATTGTCACGGAACGTTCGAAATAGCTTTAATCTCTAAGTCACACCCACTTTCCCAGTTAAACCGAAGACATCGACACAAACATGGTTCAAGTTATTTCAATATTTCGTTTGCTTGCGCGTTGAGGTCTTTGTGTTGGGCAGGATATCTTATTCCTTGTTACGCACAGACTTAGGACCGATTAATCTACGCAACTGCCAGTGACAGACTTCTTGGTTTAAAAGCACGCGCGTTAGACCACTCGACTCACTGACATATTCAGGATATTCTATTTACGCTATCTATTTTTCAACTATTATAGCGAGAACTGTCAACTCTTTTTCTAATATCCCATAATGCCCCTTTAATATAATATTAAGTCAAAATATAAACAATGTTGGGAATCTGATAAAAAGTTTTAAAATCTGGTGGTTACATGGCCCGCGACATGTCCTTCCGTGTCCTGGGACAAGCAACTGGGCGAGGGGGTGGGAGGTTCTTTCCTCAAGTGCTTGGCATTTTTTGAAAGATACACGGCCTCTAACATCATTTTGGCGTATATCTGGGGTAACTTGAGCTCACTTTGCTAAAACACAGAAACTGAGCTTTAACACAACAACATGATATGACATACCAAGTACATGTACTACGTTTATTTTTACTGATGTGTTAATGTAACCAAATGCACGCGATTTTGACAGGAAATTTAGCAACGAAACGAAGACGGAAATAAAAGTTTCGCTTTCAGTTTAATTTCATTTTTATACGCCCACATTGAAATGTGGACATATATTGCCGTCGCCCCCATCCGTCGGTCCGTCCGTCCATCGTCCACAATTTCTTGTGAACGCTCTAACGCCGAAAGTTATGATCCGATTGTTTTAAAATTGATATATGTTGTTCACATTGGTGAGATGAAGAAGTGTATTTAATTTCAATAATTTCTGTTTATTACGTCTAGAGTTATGGCCCTTATATCACTTTGTTGGACCTTGTGAACGCTCCAACGCCAAAAGTTATCATCCGATCTTTGTGAAATTTATATGCATTATTTAAATTAGTGAAACGAACCAGCCTATTTAATTGCAGTAATTTCCGTTTATTACTTCTAGAGTTATGGCCCTTGTTTCACTTTATTGAACGTTGTGAACGCTCTAACGTCAAAAGTTATCATTCGATCTTTCTGAAAATTATATGTATTATTTGAATTAGTGAAACGAAGAAGCCTATTAAATTTCAGCAATTAGTGAAACGAACCAGCCTATTTAATTGCAGTAATTTCCGTTTATTACATCTAGAGTTATGGCACTTGTTTCACTTTATTATACCTTGTGAACGCTCCAACGCCAAAAGTTATCATCCGATCTTTGTGAAATTTATATGCATTATTTAAATTAGTGAAACGAAGAACCCTATTGAATTTCAGCAAATTTCCGTTTATTACGTCTGGAGTTGTGGCCCTTGTTTCACTTTATTGAACCTTGTGAAGGCTCTAACGTCACAAGTTATCATTCGATTTTTCTGAAAATTATATGCATTATTTAAATTAGTGAGAAAAAGAAGCCTATTGAATTTCAGCAATTTCCATTTATTACATCTAGAGTTATGGCCCTTGTTTCACTTTATTGAACCTTGTGAACGCTCCAACGTCAAATGTTATCATCCGATCTTTCTGAAAATTATATGCATTATTTAAATTAGTGAGAATCCTATTGAATTTTAGCAATTTCTGTTTATTACATCTAGAGTTATAGCCCTTGTTTCACTTTATTGAACCTTGTGAACGCTCCAACGTCAAAAGTTATCATTCGATCTTTCTGAAAATTATATGCATTATTTAAATTAGTGAGACAAAGAAGCCTATTGAATTTCAGCAATTTCCGTTTATTACGTCTAGAGTTATGGCCCTTGTTTCACTTTATTGAACCTTGTGAACGCTCCAACGCCAAAAGTTATCATCCGATCTTTCTGAAATTTAAATGCCTTATTTAAATTAGTGAAACGAAGAACCCTATTGAATTTCAACAATTTACAATAATTACTTCTAGAGTTATGGCCCTTGTTTCACTTTGTTCAACCTTGTTAATGCTCGATTGATGAAAGTTATCATCCAATATGTATGAAATTTATATGCATCATTAAAATTTGTGAAACAGAGGTCTATTGAATTTTATAATTTTAATTTCCACCCAAGTCATTTGTAATATAATTCTTTTTTTTTAATTTTCACCCAAGTCATTAACAGCACATTATTATGTCTATGTCTAATTAATGTTTAATAATTTTTTTAAAATCAAGACAATGGTTTTTAGATCACCATATATTGTTTTAGCCAATATTGTTTAATTCCAAAATATTATTTAGTGTATTCTATTTCTTGGGTTTGTTAGCCATTACTAGTGTAATAAAGATTTTTTTCATACAGTGTATTATAACATGATGACTTTCTATGTCAACACAAGCAGGCCTGTCAACGCACCAGAGCCAGAAATAAGGCCTGTAAATACACTTGATTTATACTTTATGGACTGAAATTATCACAGGATCTCTAAATAAAAGGCAAGGAATCTTGACTTTTATTAAATTTTCAGAACTGAAAAGGGGGGGGAGGGGCGAATTATTCAAGTGTCGTGGTTTCAATTTCCCGCTCGTACGTGACAAGGAGTAGGGTGTTGTTTGTCCAACCTCGTGGGTTTTCTCCCTGTACTCCAGTTTCCTCCCACTACTAAAGATCTCTACCCACAAACTGGCTATTAAAATGAAATAGAGTCATATGATAGTCCTGAAATGAATTAGTCCTGGAAAGTGAAATAAACGACTTTTGTGAAAATCTCCAAAAATTAAACTGAAAGGAAGCACCAAATCCAGTTGAAGTGGACCCAAAGTCAAAGAAAAGGCACTCTCTGTGTCCAGTAAAAAATGGGCCCTTTGACTTCATGGTAAGGCTCTCTGTGTTTGTGTCCAGTAGTAGGGAAAAGAACCATGCGGGTGACCCATCATTCATTAGTGCACATAGGCCAAGTTGTTATTTTGTATTTTCTTTTGAACACACTGCGCTGGATGTTCGTTAGCGTTGGTTATGATGGGTACATGCTGATATCAATACCAATGTCCCTAGTGCACATTGACGTGCATGTAAAATAACTCTTGACAGTTGAAATTTCATATATTATAAGAGATGTCGTAGTGCCGCTGTTAGAGCAAAATTTCCCGTCTGGTATACTGCATTCATCAGCCCAGTCGGAGCAGAACAGTGGGACGTTAAACCCCCTTTGCATTTTATTTCAATGTGTTTCACTCTTAGATCCCGACTAAGATTGCCCCTGCACGTATATTTTCCCACCTGAAAGACCCCCCCCCCCTGCCCATCTCTTCCCGGTGCTCTCAAGACCAGCAACGGGATTTCGAAGAAGAATAGGCATTTTACTATTACTATATAGTAATTGGTGCAACGGGAAATGAGCTGATAGTTCTCGTATGGTTGAAAATCAAATCAAGCATGGCAGCAACAAAATATGCACACTATACTCCCACCAGCTTCCGACAAATATATCAAGGAGTAGTTTTGTTGAATCATTTTATAGGTACGCCATATTTAACCAATACATAGTTTACAGGTTTTGATCTACAGGCAATTTAAAACATGATCCGCCATATACTGCACTAATTGCCAAGGGAAGCTTTTTTATGATCCATTTTACATAATTAGTCCAACGTTGAGGGCATATAGCTGCTGTGTGTTTATTATTTCTAAATAGTTATTACAAATGAGTCTGTCTAAAATTAGAAATTGGCTAATAGTTTGTCGATGTGTTGTTCGAGGCAACATGAGAATAGCTATTCAATGTTCTTTTCTTTTCTTTACCGGATTATTTTGAACAAGGCAAGTGTAACATACGATATCATGGAAGTAAATTTCACTAATTTGCATCGAAATTGTTCAAGTATTTTAGAGGACAGGTCATTTTTAATAGGACTAGAATTCACGATATTTATAGATAGTGTGCTAGTAATAGTGTGTTTCTTTACGGTATTTGGAAACATCATCATTTTATCCGCTATTTTACTCAGGAATCGCCGAAGAGATGTTGACGTCAACCATAACACTTTCATTTTTATAAAATCGCTGTGTGTTGCCGACATAATTGTCGCTGCCTTTGCAGTGCCCTTTAAATTATATGTTAATAATGATACTGAAGAGTTGTCCAACGAAACATTGTGTTTATTGGGTATGTGTGTCGACATAGCATCGTGCACCTCTTCCATCTTTCATTTGTTGATGATGTCTGGTGATCGTTATTTAGCAATATGTAGACCATTAGTTCACAGAACTTTACCTCGTCATTTAGTTTATATAGCCCTCGCTGTTAGTTGGATTGTGCCTTGCCTTATGTCATTTCCCATAATAATGACTAAACTGCACCTGTAAAATCGAGATGTAACTTGCACCGTCGAACAAAACGTTTGTCTTGGAACTCGACATAATATTGTTTTTACATTAATCAGTAGTTTAGTTAGCTTTTACATACCATCAGTTGTGATATGTATATTTTATTATAAAATATTTGCAACTGTACGACAAAGAAGCTTAAATGGTGAACAATTGGCAAGCTCAGTGGTGTCCTCTGGAACTGCAGCAGCAAAGACAATCGGTGTCATTTTAGTCTGTTATTTCATCTGTTGGTCTCCGTTTTTTTTCTTTAATGTGTTGTCAATTTGGGTTGATAGTATTCCTTATAGTATGTTGATATCTGTAGAAATATTGGGATATATCAACTCGATGTTAAATCCTATTCTATATTATCGCAGCAATAAGAGTGTTAACGCGGCTGTTACGCACCTGTTGGATACAATTTTAAACAGATAAATAACGATAGCAGAACATATCAAGTGATATAAAAAAAGAATTCCAAAATTGCTAAGGAATTAACATGAGATGTATGTAATCTAGAAGCTTTACAGGTCTCTATTTTTCAAAGATTTCCCCGAAATTCAAAATTGATTGGAAACTATATTCAAAATATCTATGAATAGATGGTTAATTTATAAACAAAAATTGACGTAGACAGCGTTTTCTACTAAAATGCCAATATCTGCTGTTAAACTGGATTAATAAGAGCAATTTTGAAATGAATGTAATGTTTTTCTACGGCCATTTTTAAATGGTGTCGTATATTATCGTCACCCTGCCTGTCCGTCGGACACCCGCCATATGTCTTTCAAATTAGATTCGACAATATCTGTTTGTCTTGAAAGTTATGTATGTTCTCTATCGCTTTGGAAGAGTTGTTTATCTCATAAATAAATATTGTGACAACGTACGGCATCTCGGGGCCGGCACTAAGCTGATTTCAGATGTACTTAAATGGTCAAACACAGAGGATCCAGATTGATTCCCAACACCCAAGTCCCAAGATTCTTGAGTTCTGGGTCCTGGGTCCTGTCCTTCTCACACTGTCACAGCCTACACTGCCTCAATCACTGACATCATTCGCAAAACAGGCGTAAATTAGCACCTCCATGCGGACGAACTCAACCTCTGTCAAAACAGCTATATAAAGGACCTAGAAAACTGCATCGAGAAAGTAAGACCGTGGTTGCACTATAACCATTTAAAATTAAATGATAAAACAGGGAGCATAACCATTTGCAACAAGAAAAACATTAATTTAAATCATGTTACCATTGGAAACAACAATTCCACCAACAGATTTTGTTATGGCATCACTTGATTACTGTAACTCGTTTTTGTACTCTCTGTCAAAATACCTACTTGATCAATTACAAAAAAAAATAGAATAAGGCTGTTAGAATTGTGACCGGAACTAAACTATCTGAAAATATTACACCCATATTTAAAGATCTAAATTGTCTACCTATTCAACACGGGGTCAATTTTAAGATAAATACCTTAACTTTTAACTGTATCAGCGACCCTTATTTGACTGATTTATTAACACAATATGTTCCAGCTAGAGAGAGAGAAATGGGGTTTAACGTCCGCTCGACACAAACTAGGTCATTTCAGGACTAACACATGGTTCAATTTCATTTCAATAAATACTACTGCTAGTATCATGTTCTTGCCTAACGAAAGTGTTTCAGAGATATTATTTGTAGTAAACCAAAAGATGCCGCTCCTAACGGTACAGTTAATGATAAAGCAATTTAAAAAATAAAACGAACGTAATTTCTAAAGCTGCTGTAATACCTAAAAAGCTAAATTTTACTGCTATTCAGAATCGTCAACAATAGATTTTTTATGGATGTAATAGTTGATAGATGTGTAGAGAATTGCACGTGCGATGGCTATTTATAGTCTCATAAACTTTAGTGCTGAGTATTATCATACTGCGTGTTTAGCCAGAAATCACTTCGAGACAAGCCACTGAAGCGTGCACATTCGCCGTGTCGAGTCCAACTTTCTGTAGAGAAAATTTTCAATGCACCGGTCACCCTACTTAGGGCCGAGCAACTAACTCAAAATACGCGATACGTTTTAAAACATCTTAAACCCGCCAGTCTTCATCTGAATGGAGACTGGCGTCTGGATAAAAATAACGGGTATGTGACATTTACCGTTTGTTATCAAGTACAGCACTTGGGCCATACAGTGTATAGACTTCCAAAGGAACGGCAAATGTCCCGAAATCTTCAAAGAGTTATGTGTCCGGCAGTTTTGACGTTCCTCTGTATTTTGGCGCTTAAATTTCATACGTACACAGACTTTTATTTTTGAGACTGTTCAAAACAGGGTACTCCCTTTAATTACTATTTAATTTTAATGCATGCAACTATAAAAAAAAACCGTTCACATTTGAATTAATTATTGGTGTGTTAATTTATTTATTTCTATAATTTAATGTGGAGGGAGTTCAATGGAGCTATCTTCTAAGCATTCTTTTAGTTATGAATGGTTGTAGATCTGGGCATCAGACTTGCTCTCCAAAACCACCAACATCTATCCACATGAATTTGTAATCTGCATCTACAAAGTTAAAACACTGTTGGGCAGAAGTTCCAGTCTTGGGAGGCTTTCTGATGGCTATATGTTTCCCATCCAGAGCACTACAAGCATGTGGGACACCCCACCGCATCATCAACTCCCCGGCGGCTTCTTTCCATCTGTCTCTGTCAACGGGGATTATTGCATAAATTAAACAGTTATGGAATCCAAGATGACAGACTCATACTAATTTTTAATTACTTGAATAACAGATATCAAATTCTTATGTTAGAAAATTGTTTATCTGATACTTTATCTACAAATTCTGGCGTTCCCCAAGGTTCGATTCTTGGTCCTCTGGTTTTTTTTATTTATATAAATGATGCATCTGATCATCTTAAAGGTTTAGCGAGATTATTTGCTGATGACACAACGATATGTTCTTCGTCAACAGATTTATCGAATGTTGAAGAAGCATTGAATTGTGATTTAAATTAGTTGTGTGTCTGTGCTAATAAATGGCTAATAACCTTTAATCCTGAAAAAACTGAATTAATGATCTTCACTAACAAAAATGTTACGTTTCCTTTAAATATTAAATTTTCAAAGCACGTATTTACATACGACTTCTTTTCATAACATCTAGGTGTGTATGTCCAAGTTGACCTTAAATGGAATTATCATATTAAATCTATAATAAAACAAGCGTCTTTTAAACTTAGCCACTTACGTAGAACTAAATTTCAACTTACGCAATCCAATTTAAATAAATTATATAAATGTTATATCTTACCAATGCGTGAGTATGCCTGCGAAGTATGAGATAACTGTTCAAATTATAACTCAGAAAAACTTGAAAAATTGCAGCTTAAAGCTGCCCCCACGATAACTGGTTGAACTATTTATGCATCTCGTAAATCGCTTTATTTTGAAACTGCATGAACTAAATTACATGATCGCAGAAAGACAAGACGGTTGTGCTTATTACACAAGTTTATTCACAAAACAGGGCCGTCTTATCTTCAAGAGATAATAGGTTATCATGGAAATAGTTATAATCTTAGAAACTGTAATGTCGTTTAAATTAACTGTAACAAGGAACTCATTTTTTTCTAAAATCATTCGGGGGGGTTGGATGGCCGAATGGTTAGCACGTGCGTGCTGTATCATACGGCCGGTCATTGAGTCAACTGGCGTGGTTTCGAATCCCCGGTTGTACGTGACAAGGAGTAGGGTTGCCTGTCCAACCTCGTGGGTTTTCTCTGGGTCCTCCGGTTTCCTCCCACTGCTAAAGACCCCTACGCGCAAGCGAATTATTGAAATAAAATTAAACCACATGTTAGTCCCGAAATGACCTAGTTTGTGTCGAGTGGACGTTAAACCCCATTTCTCTCTCTCTCCTAAAATCATTCAACAGTTTAATAGTTTACGTCCCGGTTTAAAATGCACGCTATCTTTATCTGAGTTTAAAACCAATATAAAGACTAAAGTCAAACCTCCAAAATTAAGAAACATTGACAGCAGAAAAGTATCCATTTACCATAATCGTATACGCAACACCTGTAGTGGTCTAAATTATGATCTTAATAAATCAAACATCGTTCAAAACCCATACTGTACATGCGACAATAAAAGCATTGAAAATATGTTTCACTATTTTTTTGATTGCTCAAAATATGTGTATAGGCAATCTACCACGATCTGAGTTGCATAAAATTTATTTAGATGGTTCTTCTCTATTTCCTAAATCTTTTAATATCCATATAATATTTCTAACCGTACACAATTATATTAAAGACACGAAAAGGTTCACATGTACTCTGTAGCTATTATTTTAATTCTCCAGTGGTTTATCACTATTAATATTCACTTAGTATGTAACGATATGGACTTATTATCCTAAGGTAGCATGTATATAGTGTATGTATATAACTATGTATTAAATCAAATTTCAGTGGTAATTGTAAATAATTTAGATTTGGTGGGAGAAGACTCGTAAATTGTACAATTTGTTCTGATCCCGTTTCTATTATACGCATATACTTATATGTATGTATTTGCAAATAAACTATATGATATTAAAAAAAAACGGGGCAGGGCAGATGACATTATTTTTGAGCTTCATCACAAAGGCATCAAAGACTTCTTTCACTAACGAGCATATTGTGTTTCTTGCTACCCGGAAATAATATTGCGTGGTGGCATAGGAATCTCCTGTTGCGAGATGACGCAGTATGATGGCAAACCTCATCCCCGATTCCAGAGCCTCCCTATAGTTGGTGTCTTGGGGTTTTTTTGTTGTTCTTTTGTTGTTGTTTTTTGTAGGGGGGGGGGGGGTATGAAGGCGGTGATGCGTTCAAGAAGTTCGTCAAACATGGGTGGGGTGATTCTCAAGACAGTGTAGAAGGACTTTTGAACATCCAGGCGGAGCTCCTCAATCAACTGATGCTAATGTCTAACGGCTCTCCTCTCACGTTTCCGCAAATTCCTCACGGAACTATTTTTTGACTTTCTCCTTCCTCTTTGTTCTACTATTCCATGGTACTGTTGCTGTACTCACAACAGAAATTGCGTGAAACCGATATTCAACATGTTAAAGGCTCCATGATTCTGTTCGAAACTGCACTGCAAGAAATCTCGAGCCAAATGATGTAACAACCCATGTTTTTATGCTCTGCCATGTCCAAGCGTACTGTTATTTCCGAGCATCTCCCTCTGGCGACGTTAATTCTAGGCGGAGGGGGGGGGGGTTACATGGTCTCTATAGCGTCAATTTTGCGCATATTTACAATTTAGCGTATATCTGCGGAGACTTGACGTGGTCACTGCCAAAACACAGAATCTGACAAACTAGACTGTGCGGGAGCTTATGGCCCATACCTATATATTAATTCAAACTGATGATTGACGCAACTGAAGAATAACAAGCGGAAATTAGATTTTTTTTAAAATTTAATACCTCCCCATGTGTAGAATCTCTAGCGTTTATCGAGGAACAATAAATTCCGTTGAATTCGAAATATGGGAGAAATTGGTCACACGCACAACGCGCCTTATAGGGACAAAACAACGAATCGTAACTTAGATTCAAATTTTTAAAATAATATAGATTGCCCAAATTGAAACTTTCTGAGAGCACGTCTTTTTATTTCTCAGATCACGGTTTTCGCTCATCAGAGCACGGACGTGCTCCAAGGCACGTTAAAATAGGCTCTGCTCGAGCTACTTGACCCGGTCGTACTGCTATTTGATGCTCGACCACGTCACGTTGTAACACGTCCTTAGTAGGATCGAAGTACGACAATTCCGTTCATAGTACGGCGAATTACGTTTTAAGTCACGTTGTCACTCTGTCTAATTGCAGGAAGGGGAACATTTTGAACAGACTCAAGTTCTAGAGTACCTTTCCGCCTATGAAGTTAATAAGCAGATCGTAAACAGTGGCTACTAAATTCACACATAGTTTGAGTCCGTTTGGCAACATTTTCCAGAACGCAGTGAGAACTAGTTTGGTGCCATGGGGGGTTTAGATATTACTAGAGACGTGTTACAACGTGACGTGGTCGAGCACCAATTAGCAGCAGGTCATAAATAAAGCATCACCTGGCATTTTATCTCGACCAACTCATTTCTACCCGGAATACAAAAAAGGTGTAACATCACTTATTACAATGTTTTTGTGTTCAAATTTCTATCACCTTATTCACCCACAAAATGCAATTCTAGTCTCCAATTGCATATTAATTCCATATTATATGGTACAGTTGATTTATTTAATATACTATCTGTGTTCAAATTTGGTACATATGGGTGATAAATAGAGCACATAAATCGAACTAATACATGTGGTATGTGCTTGATTCATTCATAATTGAGATATCTTGGCTTGAAATAGGAAATATAGCCCTGTCATAAAAACAATCTTGCCAATAAACTGTTAATCTATTAGAAATGTGTACTCCTTTACCTATCTGATTATGCCAACTAGCTGTCGGCGAGTGAACTTATTAACGTCTTGTTCCAAACCAAATAAAACAATTAGGTACATACTGTTTTAATAGCTTATATATACATGGGTTTAATTTTAGATTTTTGTATAATTTGCTATAAATTGTTAAACTATGACAAAACCATGGTTTTCATTTCGGCCATATTCCCATGCCATTTTGATCAGTATAAACTCCAGTAAGCCAACAATGCACTATACAAAAATAGGCCACTGTTTCCTTCTGACTAAAGCAAGATCAGTGTGAATTTGTTATGCATTAGTTACTTTAATTAGACCACTAAAAGGCAAATCATTATGTCGGCTTTTACCAAACAAATTTCCCAAATAGCACACTGTATGGCGTATGGATTAGAAACGTAAACGTTAAACCAACTCCATTTCATTTCGTTTCGATACTCCAAGTCTGTCAATCAGCCGGAATCCAATTTGTACTTAAAGCTAACCGTGTACAGGGCTTGGTTGTTTACGATTGTACAGTATTTAAATTGTACTTAATTATAAGATATTAAATGCAATCTGGTCGTTTATTTAGGGATGGTGGAAAGTAAGCGGGCCGCTAATAATGGCCGTATTGACATTTGATTCATATTCTTCCATAACAGGTATTTGACCGGCGTATTCCGAAAACTAAAAAATAATTTGCATTTTGGCGGAAAATATCCCACTCCTAATATCCAACTCCTTAATTCGCGCTAATAAATACCCAGATTGATTATTTAACATTTAATCTAGAAACCCAAATCAAATTATCAACGCTAGACTAGCGAACTTTTTAAAAACTGGCCTATCAATTCCGACAATAAACAGGCTTGTAAAAGGCGATCAGTTTTGTCGGATGATTATAACACCCGTTTGGCCAATGTAACTCTTTTCATAGCATTCGACTGTTGAAAATCTAATAAAACATCTGGTAATTGGGCCTTTCTTTCTTTCTTAAAACGTCCACATACGTCGAACAAACGCATAGGACATTGCATCGACCATAATTTCTGAGGGAATGTTTGTCTGCGAAATCACCTTATGCAGAAGAGGACTTTATCCCCCGAACTTCATAATGGTAGTGGCAATAGAAGCCAGTGTGATTATATACACTTTAGAAATGAAATGAAGTGAGGTTTAACGTCCTACTGTTCGTACACTTTAGACCAATTACAATTAATCCATTTATAATTGAGACATCTTCATTCAAAGTCGCAAATATAGCCCCTTTGCCAATTACCTAAACACTATAAATTATCACAAACCGCAGTGACCAAGTGTTTATTTGGTGTTTGTACTCTTCGACAAATACATACATTCCCATTATACAAACTAGCCGTTGGCGGTGTGTAACGCCAGGTTGATTCTTGGGTTCGCCGATTTGTAATCCACTTTCATAATAAAATAGGGCAATAATTAGTTTTATATGAAATCAACGAGGCAACGCAATATAACTTTTTGTCAAAAACGAGCGGTTTAATTTTAGATCCTTTTTAAATTATTTATGCACCCTTTTGATCAGGACAATTTCGAGTAAACGAAAAATTCATCTACAATATTAGTCTTCCTATTAAAACAACAAAATATATGTGAAATTATTATCGAAGTCACCACTGTTATCACCAATGAAGCCACTCTTAATAAATAATGTCAGCTTATATGAAACAAAACGATTTTCAAGTAATAATCATATCAATTTAGACATCGATGTTATTGGTCCCGTGGATACACACTAAGAAAAAGAAGAAAGGATATTTAGAATTATTTAGTAGTAGTAGATTTTCGCTAATTCGCTAAGTGATTGCTATAGCTCCATATATGTTTTATCCGCATTTATCTGACGCAATTCAATCTTTAGGTAACGATTCGCCGTTTGGAAATCTATGACAAAACTGGGAATTCTGCCACAATTACACCCAGGCGCGGATCCAAGTGAGGAGGGGGGGGGCGGCGGTGGCAAACAATTTGCGGGAAAGCAGAACAAAAATACTTACAAATGGTAGTGAACCCGTCGTAATTTACTCCGAAACGGGCCGGTTGGTGACTTGGTTGATTGACCGTCAGTCCGCCCACCGAGGGCCGGGCTTCGCACTCCCAATTACGCCCCCTCCCCCTTCCTGAAAATCCTGGATCCGCCCCTGACAGTCGATCACGCACGTTGGCCATTTCCAAATCACTGCTTCAGGACTTTACTCTATTTAGCATATCGGCGGAATTGACAAGCCCAAGCAGCTCAAGACATACGGATTTGCTATTCACCGAGCAATCGATGCGTTTAGTCATAAAATTAGAAATGATTACGCGTTTTGGAAGGTGTGACAGACATTTCTGAAATAAAAATACACCAACATTGCATCAGAAGGCACGATGAGGTTACGTTTTCGGAGAAGCTTTTTAACTGGCATAAGAATAGCAAATCAGAGAAGAAGGTATTGGTGGGGTACCCAGAGCAAACAATCCACCGAATTTGTTGGATTCATTTTTTCAAAGACATTCAGAGATTCGGGTATTTATAACTATATAGGTCTAACCCCTATCGATATTCATCTTTCCGCGATTTTTCATACTAGCGTTATGCCGCCTTATATTTTTAAGCAATTAGTATAGTTTATACATCAAAAACGAAGCCGACATAGCTGTGTGCTTAGATATCTTTGCCACACAGTGGAATTCAAATATATATATATTTTTTAATGAAAACTCAATATGGAGCGTGAGAGAGTTTCTCTAGGCACCCCGGTTCCCTCTCACTGCTAAAGACCCCTACGAATTATTGAAATAAAATTGAACCATATGCTTGTCTCGATACGACCTGGTTTGTGTCGAGTCCCCTCACCCCCTCTCTCGCTAAACCAATAGATGTCAGCAAGGACGCTACATGTAATAAAATCGCAATTAAACCGATTGTAATTTTCTAAATTTGTTGCCAATACTGACATTCTAAATATTAATGTGAGTCAGATCTTTAACATTAGTTTTTTTATTGCTTCATTATTGGATATATCGGTAGACTACCAAACACGCTGTCGAGGGCGGTTAGGTCAACTTTTAATAGAGTTAAAATTTGCTGTAAAAGTCCATTTTGAACAACATTGCAGCAACGTGGGGACTAAAAATAACCAGTTAATGTGAGTCAGGGAGCTTTTAAAACATGGTTATCCAACGTCACCTTTTCACTCTGACATTGCATGTAAACAAGATCATTACAAATCTAGTTTGCAGATAGCTTACTATCTGGATAAAATGGATTTTCCCAGTATTGTGTTCCCCCAGGGTCAGCATCAAATAATAAGGGAATAAAATAACAAATGGACATTTAACTTAATAGATCAGAACATCAAGTTGGTGATAAATAGTAAATGATGTTTGCCTACATTTAGTATTTATTTACTATAATGCAAATATAACAATGATGGTATCAAAGTAATGAAACTATATGAACCAAAGATATGCCTTTTTCAGTTTTTAAAAATTAAAGCAAATACATAATAGGGTCATTCCATGTCAAGTGGGCCAGGGGTGGGAAATCGACCCTCTCAAAAAAAAATCTGGAAAAAATATATGTTAGTGTACATGTAAAAACTAGAAACTGCAAAATTTATGATACGGGCATTTGAGTTTCATGAGTCACCGATAAGTTTTCGAAACAAATATGTATTAGTAATTTACTCGAGTTTCAGACATCTTATTTTTACCTTTCTAGTGAAGATATACAGCTCATATTTGGTTGTGTTAAAGAACATTTTGTGTAGATTACGAATCTGCAATCAGATTACAGGTGAGTGGTAGGGTTCGCATGCTACTTTGCCATACATAAAAACCTAAAAAAAGAAATGGTATAATTGTATATTTTCTAGATTTTGTAGTGCTCCAGGAGCTACAAAGTAATAGATATATAGACCCAAATCTTGGCCCATCCAGAAGTTGCCGGTAGTACTACATACATACGAAACATGACAAAGCATCAGTCTTCACTAGATTTCCAGAAAATTGGCCTCGAATATGTTTCAGACACAAATTTCGAAAATTGCATCGTATTTTCGAGACGATAGAACCCGGTAGGTTAGCACCTAAAAATCTAAAACTTGGTGTGATTATAGTTTGTACTATGTCTCTAACATATGTTATAACCATTCCTGTCCCATGCCATCTCGATATTTTTTCGATTTTTTCAAAATCTGTGTTTTGGGTTAATCTATGTCAATTATCATATTTTTGAGCAGATTGAACCCGGTAGATGAGCACCTGAAAATCTGAAACTTGGTGAAATTATAGTTTGTACTAATTGACCAACTTGACATGGAATGACCCAATATAGATAATAAGCTACGCCAATTGCTGTTTTAAACACAGTTTACCCTGTAAAAAAATATTCCACATTGAACCAGAGAAAACAATAATATATTAGTCTACAAATTATCAAGATAAAGTGCCAAGAACACTTGACATATTCGTCTGATCTAATCATGCAAATCATTCATTATAAACATCATTTACAGAAACTATAATCACCTAGTGCCTTGTTGATTGGACACCAGTAGTAAAGGACAATAGGCTGTTTCGATTTATCCTGTTTTGTTAACAATGATGGGTGGAGATAACATCTTTATTTATTGCATGGTATCTCACTTCTTTCAACCACTGGGAATCAAAATAGTTAATAGTCTTACCTTCGTCATAGTTTTCTTGATTATTATAGTGTTTGTCTTTACAATTCTGAAAAAAAACCTGCAAATATGAACATACACAGTAGGTGCCCATAAGCTTTTACCGCCCGCTTCTCTAATCTGTACATCTTTGATATTTTTTTCAAGAGACAAAAACAATCTGAGGTATAAGATCATTTTATCAGTTACGCATAAGTCCCTTGTTCTGAAAGTCTTTCGAAGCATAACCACTTTACAATGAAACGACTTAATTCATTCGTTTTTATGTGATTTATTTGTATGCGCCCACATTTAAATGTGTAAGTGTAAGAATGTCGTTACATTGTCCTTGCATCAATAATTGGTGCGTCAACGCGATAGAGGCTACCGTTGTTGACGGATTTTTTTCAAATTTGGCGTGAAGCATTGTAGCCACGAGAGGATGAACCGGAGTTCCCCCCCCCCCCCTTTATCGAAAGCCTTCTGAATTCAATAGTTAACAAAATTTTCGTTTAAAAAATCGTTGCGAAGCATTGTGAGGATGAGCCCTATCGATTTTCTCTGTTCTCCATCCTTCTCATAAAAATGGCAACCATTTGTCTCAATATTTACATGGTCACCAGCCCATTACAAGCTTCGGAGAAAGATATTATTACGTACACATTGTTCCATTCAGCTTAACGAATATTAGGAAGATTTAAAGCCGATCAAGGGGACATCGCCATGCTTGTTTACGTCTAATGCGCTGCAATTTTGTCTAAGTTGGCATCATTATAAACAGTGGGATGAGCTACAGGTCTCTGACGGAGAGGTTAATTGACATTAAATGAGAATTCTACCGCAAAAAGTTATTTAAATATGAAAAAATAAGCATATTTTCGACACTGCGAAATTTTAAAAACGTTACACATTGAACATGGCAAAATTATACTTTTACTATAGGATTCTCCTTTATGTCAACAGATTCAAATTCCCCGTCTCTGTAAACAGAGGCAGGCTAATGGGGACATTTCGATACAACAGTACTGTTATCGAGAAATGTTATAATGACATATATATGACAACAGCTGCATGACTATGACATTTCCATTAAATCAATTACAATTAATGGCATCATGCCGTGAGTGTTCGTCGTCCCAATCCCAATGCGGTCTTTCGCTTTATGGACAGTCACAACTTTCATAGAACACCGTAAATGAAGGGGACTTAAAATCGTTGCGATATATCATATTTACCTACCTTGAAAATTTCACATCGAAACATTAAACTGTTCAGAAATTATGGCTAGATTTGTTTGCGGAGCTATGTAGGCTAGTTTATTTAAGTAATTTAATTCTTCAATTGTATGGGTGACTTGGTAAGCGCGAAAGTAACTTATCACTAGAATTTCTGCAAGTATATAGACGTGGTTATACAGGCAGCACTTGCATCTCGCGAAATTTTGGAACTTATGACCAGCCGCACCCTGAAACTGAAAGTTTGTATTTCCTCTAAAAAGTATAAACGAACTTCATTTACTTGCACAGAACAAATATAGCAGGTTCCAGGGATCTTTCACCCAGAATCAACCAGTTTTAATTCAGTAAAATATACGCTGCACTTTTACCTTTAATGTATTATAGAAGCCCCTATTAGTAAATAGCTTTTAATTTGGTGTTAATATTTCATGAAACGACCTATTATCATTTACGTCAAACATCAATACGACTTGCTCATTAACTGTATATCGTTTCTGGCGATTGACAAGGATTATTTTGCTGTGGCGTATTATAACCAAAACTGTGCAATCTGTTATCTGGGTGTTAGAAGCAATTTCGCGGTGCACATATTCAATGGCAGTAAATTCGACAAGTTTAGAAACAAAATGTTCTGGTGAAACAGTCAATTTGGGAAATTCATTAACATTGGAACTTCGGATATGTATATATACTCTACTAATAATAGTCTGTGTTTTTTCGATAATTGGAAATATTATCACTATATCCGCCATCTCATTGTGCAAACCCTAGATTGTTATAAATAACAACCGCAAAACTTTTATTTTTGTAAGGTCACTGTGTGTTGCAGATATGCTTATTGGTGCCGTTGCCGTGCCTTTAAAACTATATGTTGACATGGTCATAAAAGTGCGAGAAAAGAATGCAATTATATGTTTGATTGGCGAAAGTTTTGATATGATGGCATGCACATCTTCTATTTATCATTTGTTGATGATGTCTGGTGATCGTTATTTAGCAATATGTAGACCATTAGTTCACAGAACTTTACCTCGTCATATAGTTTACATAGCCCTTGCTTCAAGTTGGATCGTTCCTGGGCTTATTTCTTTCCCACCAGTATTGTCGAAACTACATCTTGAAGACCAAGGTCCATCGTGTACGGTTTCTTTTTTCGTATGTTATAAACAACATCATAACGCCACCTTTATAACGATTGCTAGTTTAATAACATTTTACGCACCTTCCTTTGTGATATGTGTATTTTACTATAAAATATTTGCTGTCGTCAGAGACGTTTGAAATATCCAGTTGGGGGCCCAATTGTTTGTTCTGAAACTGCAGCAGCAAAGACTATCAGTGTCATCTTAAGTTGTTACTTCGTCTGCTGGTTACCGTTTTTTATCGTTTATGTGTTGTTAACTTGGGTTGATATCCCTATAAACCTATTGGTATCTGTAGAAATGTTGGGATATATTAACTCTATGTTAAATCCTATATTATATTATCGCTGCAATAGGAGTGTTAAGACTGCTATTAACCAACTCATGAATCACTGTTTAAAAAGAGACAGTAAAGAAAGAACTGCGACACAAATTACTGAAATGGTTTCATGGATGTAGCTGAAAACTGAAAAGGGAGCTCGGTCCGAGATAGAATTATGCGATCTTGTTGTAAAGGGCCATTCATTCCATTGAGTGACAGACGTTAACAAGGTTCCACCATTTTCAAAATAAAACTTTCTCAGTAAATAAAAGTATACATCTCTACGATACCGATCACGCTGTTGATTACAGACATTGTATTAAACTAAACGGTTTATGCAAAACTTTAAAAGAAACGTGGTTAAGTTTGTATGTATATATTAATAGTTATAGAGTCCTCATTTTAAGCGTCTATTGGGTGGGGTCAGAACAATAAGTTGTCTGCAAGAGTTAACCTGGGCTTTTGAATCTGATGTGCAGGTTAGAAAAACGATTACACTTTGGAAAATATATTAAGTTTTAAAAGTGAAAATATTGGTAGCCAATCTATTCTATCTATATATAAGTACATAATGAGTGGACAATTATGATTCAGGTGAGACACGCGGTTAAAACATAATCTTTTATTAATTTATTTACCTCAAAAATTAACCAACAGTTTAACATTCTCCTACCTTTTGATTACTTAAACATACATTATGCAAGAGCTAAATCTGCCTATTGTAGGACACTCGTTGGGCCTGAAATGTTATCTAAATTATTAATTAGACATTAATTAACTTATCCAGACCATGGTAAACTCTCGATGGCATCACTAGCCTGTGATATTTACTGGATTAGAACCCGGTCTGCTGCTTCTGTTTTTTTTATCGTACCAACTTTAGTAATGATGATCGAGGCTAGGATCAATTTGACTGACATTTTCAGTAAATTTCCTTTACATTATCTAGTTTTTAACTATTATAGTGAGAACTACCAGCTCTCTATCTAATCTCCCATAATGTATCTTTAAGTAACACTAGTGCTTCCCTGATATTAGCCCCACAACACGCAAAATTTGTATCATGTTCGGGGTTGGATGGCCGAATGGTTAGCGCTGTATCATAAGGTCTGTCATTGAATCAACTGGTGTGGTTTCGATTACCCGGTTGTACGTGACAAGAAATAGGGTCGCCTGTCCATACCTCGTGGGTTTTCTCCGGGTCCTCCGGTTTCCTCCCACTGTTAGAGATCCTTACGCGCAAGCGAATTATTGAAATATAATTGAACTATGTGTTAGTCTCAAAATGGCCTAGTTTGTGTCGAGTGGACGTTAAACCCCATCTCTCTCTATCATGTAATTTTATCCAATGTTCTATGATAATATAGCTGTAATTATCCCCCGTTTTGCTTAATGCTTTTTTGGGGGTATTTACTGCAACACTGCTTTTGACCTCACCCATTGTAGTGAACCAGAACTAAAATAACCAAAAGCATCAATGTTGGCGGTGATTTGTGGATATTGTAGGCGTGAGTTATGTGGACTTGATTCCCCATCCGAGTTTCCAGTTCAGTTAAACGTGCATTATGCAAGAGGTAAATTTGCCTATTGCAGGTCTTTCTTTAGGCCTGAAATGTTATATAAATTATTAAATAGACACCAATTAACTTACCAAGACCACAGTGAACTCTCGGTGCTATCGGATGATGAAATAACCGTAAAACCGGATAATCAAGATTGTGTATTATCGTAACAACGGTAGGCCTAGTAATGACAATCGAGACTATAGACAACTATTGGCTCAGAGTGAAGTAATTTGACTGAAATTTTCAGCATATTCTCCTTTCTTTATCTATGTTTTAACTATTATATCGAGAACTGCCAGCTCGTTAACTAATCTTACTTACTAATGCTGCTTTAATTCTGACAGCTATATTTTGCGCCATATTAGATTTAACGTTGCATAAGCATGTATACGTGTTACAACTGTTCGTGATAATTATTCACTAATGGTTGGAATATCGAACCCCAGTGATGGTTGACATATCATTTGTTCTTCAATGAAAAAAATATTTTGCGATATGTACCGATTTTCAACCCTTTATAGTAAACGAGTTATTTTACTAATAATTATTTCACTCGTGATTATGCTGACAATAGCAGCAATGGCGCTGATTAACTGAAACACTTCTCGTATATTATATCGTGGTAAGAGCGGAATGCTATACACTGGATTTGTCTTCACCTTGTACATTCTAGAGAAATGGCTTCGTTTTAATATCTCTGTTCCTCTTAATGGATCAAATCAAAATTGCCACTGCGGACGAAAATTACACATGGAAATCTAAATTGTTTAGCTATAATTGAAAAACTTCGTTGTGTCTTATTGATTAAAAATATCTTGACAGGATGCAAATTTGAAATGGTGGTTTTCATTTTAGCGTTATTTCAGTTCCTGTTGGTAAAAATTGAATACGACGACTTTGCTCATGTAAATACATTACAATTGTGACTGAAGTCGGCAAAGTTCTGTTTTTAATCAAATAACAAATGTGTTACAAAACAACTGAAATAAAGCTTGATGTTTGCAGAATAATGCAATCAGTTAATTATGTGTTAATTTATTTATTGTCAACGTTATCCAGATTTTATCCAGATTTCTTAAGCGCTGCCTTAATCTAATTCAACAATTTATTTGAAGTTAGTTAACTTGGGACCGGCAGGTCCCAGTTAAGACCTGACAGCAGCCATGTAACTTAGTCGGGAGTTGGCACCCTGTACCAAGCCAAGCTAGGACCATGGCTCCCTCAACACAAGCTAATTATGGAGTCTTTAGCTAAAAGAAGTTTCGTACTTGATATATTTAAAGAATAATAAAAGTAACGTTTAAAGTTAAAATACATTAGTGTTGTCGTCAAGAACCTGACATAAAGGCCCACTACTGTAACATATCAATTGGTGCCGTCTGACCAGAGCAACGTTTGAAGTCAGCCACTAGACGATCAAAGCATTATATTAAAAGCTGAGTATTTTTTTCTAAATCCTAACCATGGCCACGGTTAATCCTGACGTTTAACAAATTAACTGAGGAAATCAGCAGTTTATTATTAACGCTGAAATATCATGATGTAGTTACTCAAATTTCTCAATCATTTCCTAGAAACTCTGAAATTGTTTTTATACGCCCACATTTTCATGTGGACATGTAGACGTATTATGTCGTCGCCCCTGTGTCCGTCCGTCCGTCCGTCTGTCCGTCCACAATTTGTTTGTGGACACAACAGGTCACAATTTCTATCCGATTTCAACGAAACTTGAAATATAGGTTTATCTCCCTACGATCTCAGTTCCTTTCGATATTGGCATGTTCGCGTAAGTCGGATCTGCAGTATGTTCAGAATTTGACTAAGCCAGTTTCGTACCGATGGTCTAAAACGCGGTTAGATATTCCATGCACAAAGCCCCAAAATACTTTCCTCTATCATTTTGACTCAAATCAGCCTATTTGACGCAACGCAATAATAGAATTTACAGCCAGTCGCTCGTGGTGAGGCACTGGCCTCCGGAGTCTTGTATCTTGTTTTTCAATGGCTGGTCTCAACAAATTGCAAATTATCGCGAACGAATCCTTGACATTCGAAGGACATATCGCCAATCGATTTCTCCCCAAATTTCGCCATGATAAATTTCGTGCCAATAATTCCGAAGAAGATATTTCACCCAAAGGCGACAGGGATTACGGCCCGGGCCAATATACTGCAAATAAATAAAAATTAATATTACAAACAGAAATCAGTTGGAGCGTAGCCTACATAGCTGTAGCCCTTCGTCACTGCAGTAACATAACCAGCTAAGAGATAGGTTGTCATGCAATGAAACTTACGCCCTCAATCAACAAGGGCTATGGCATACTTTTCCTTTTGTCAGTAATGCAAACATTTACAACACACTAAATTCTGATTACGAGTTCTGCCCTATACTAACATTTAATATCATGGGCCATAAATCTGGCAGTAATTATCGTAAATCGTTCAAAATCAATTGGCTTCTTCGTCCATGACCTTAAATACTGTGCATAAATTTAAAGTCAATCAGATATTAACATTAGCCTCTAGCGCTTGTTCAGATCACAGCTGACCATTCACGGTCTAGACCTTGGGGACAGGGCATGCAGGGTAAGCTTTAGTCGTTTCGAGTCTAGTGGAAATGAAATGAAATGGGGTTTAACGTCCTACTGTTCTGCTCCGAACTGGGCTAATGAAGACGGGCATACGCCATACAGTGTGCTATGAGCGAAATTTTGCCCGGGCAGCGGCGCTACGGCCTACTCTTATATCGAATTCCAACTGCCACGGGATCTTTTACGTGCACGCCAATGTGTACACGGGAGCTCGGTTTTTCGTCCCATCCGAACGACTAGATAGCTGTCCTTGTCAGGCCCTCCGTCCTGCATCACTGACAAGGCGAAACCACGCCGGAAAATCTGGATGAACTTTCTCGTCCAATGCAGGGATCGAACGCTAGCGAGCCAGCGTCTTACCCACTTAGCCACGCGATCCCCTCGAGTCTAGTGGAGTCTAGTCTCTAGCAGGTATTGCATATAGCTGAGTAGAAATGATAACAAAATGTATTGCTTTACATTATGTATGTTTAGTGCTGAAAGGATTTGAATTATGAAATGGGAGCCACGATTAAGAAGCTGCCTCCCTAGTCGGGATTTTCCGGGGTGGTTTCCCGATGCCAGTGTTGCCGTGGGCCTGCGAAGGACAGTTGTCTAGTCGTTGGGATGGGACGAAAGTCAGAATTGCCGTGTATACATTGACGTGGACGTAAAAAATTCCTTGATAGCTGTCCTGGAAAAAATGGTCTATGGCCGTCTTTATAAGCCCAGTCGGACCAGAACAGTAGGAAGTTTAACCCGGTGTGTCCGGCGCTGCATGGCAAGGCGTCGAAGATCTAAGACCCGGCGTCGCTGATGTAGCCTTGCTTGACCCAGGAAATTAAACATAAGCAACATAAGATCACCAATACGAATGTCTGGCGCATCCATCTTGGATATGAATGACCTTCACTGCGCATTCAGTGTGGCGCTTTTCGTTCTGAATTCAATCCGAATAAACTGTAATGTGACGAACCGCTTTTAATCCGGGAAAAACCAATCCGAATTCCGGAGGCCGACGCACCGCTTTTAATCCGGGAAAAACCAATCCGAATTTCGGAGGCCGGTCTCCGGAATTCGCATTGAATGCGCACGCAATGTGAACGCAGCTTTAGATCCGACTTATGCGAAGTTTACTGATTGTTATCTAAGGTCTGTCCCACTTGCTAATTTGATTAACTATGAATTGAGTTCACCCCATGTTACAATAAGATGATAAAACTCGGGTACTAGTGGCAGTTATAACATTTTTCATAGCACGTGTCATAAAAAAAACCTGTTTGGCCAGACGTTTAGGAAAGGGGAAAGACTACCCGACAAAAATAAAAGCTGCCAATCTTAAAGAAGAGAAGGAAATGAAAGAAAGGGACGGAAAATCTGAAGGAAGAAATACCTTTTACCCCGCCCTACAATTAAAAGAAGAAGACGTATTTAAACGGGTTGATCATTAGAAGAACTTGTGTTATTTCAATAACTCGCGTGTGTGACCATTAAAAGAACTTGTATTATATGTGATTTCAATAACTTGCGTGTGTGACCAATTGTGTTGACATTGCGGTATGAAAAAAAATGAAAAAAAAGAAATCAAACAAACTTTTGTGTATATATTTTTTAAATTTGTATTTTCTCCTCCAGATTTATTTTTACAGACATTAAATTTGTTCATAATAGGACATTTAACAAGTGTCTTATTTTTTATTGTCTGTTTATATTTTATGTAAGTTTGTAAAGGCTTTAAAAAGTTATTTTTATAACTTTTTCTTCGAGCATGGGAGGAATGTTACACAATTGACATTATTCAGGAAAATGTCATTTAACACGTTCAATGCATGAAATCGATCAAAGCATCCTTATCAGATTACGACCCTCAGATGGTGGACATTGGCACTGGCTTGGCACGACCCGCTGAAGTCGTTAGTGAACTTTTGGTCTTCGAAGGAGTCACTTCAGTCAGTTATATAGAGGGATAACTCGTGTTTTCCTTTTGCGTTCGTCACTTCCGATTGTTGAAACCTTTATTACGCATTTATCGTAGCAATGATCTCTGTGTTAAAATTATATTTGGAATCAAATTGCCAAGCATAAGTTCAATAATTATAAACATGAGACATTTCAGCCAAAGAACGAATAGTAATAATAATAACAAAAGTCAAACATATAGATGATATACAAATTTAAATTACGAAACATACTACTGATTTTGATAATACAATTAAATATACATGAATTAGAAATATATACATTATTTACATAAATCATTCAGTAAATATGGTTATCTACCCTTAAAAAACGAAGGCGAAACGACTGGTTTGTAAACTGTTTTTTGTTTGGTTCGTAGACTTTAGCTACAATCAAGGCCAGGGCAGATGATTTAAACTCGCGAAAACCCTATGGGATAACCCAAGGTATAGTGGAGTAGAACGGAATGAGAAGACTGGGGATACCGTGATGGACAAGCGTGAAACGGAGTTCGCCTTTGTATCACTTAGAGTACAATAAAGATAGTTGCTGATTCATCTGGTGTTAAGTCTTTCTGGGCCAGCTGCTTGGTTGGCTACTCCCACACCTCTACAGTAGCGAACCCTTCACGGAACTAACGGATAGAGCCGGGCCCACTCTACCACAGTAATCCGCTCTATCCAGAGATTCAGTTCGCTACACTAGCATCTTGACTAACCGCCCAGTATTTTCGCACTGCGTGACTAGCCAGAAATCAGTTCTGGACTAGTCACTGAAGCGTGCACATTCGCTGTGGCGTGTACAACTTTTAACAGAGAAAATTTTTGTTGTGTGGGACACCCTAACTATGTTAACATTATTTGAGCGATGGAATCACAATTTGAAGTGCAGATGTCAAAAATCCATATTGTACGACATGTGAAA